TTAAAGAGTTTGTACTAAACTAAGGTTAAGCCAAGATTTGGTGTAAAATGTAAATTTTTCCCTAATAGTCGAAAAATAAAAACTTCAACTTCAATAAAAGTCTTAAAATTTAGTACGATGTATGGCATTTTGATTACAAAAATTTTGCCAAACGGAACAGATCGATCGTGCATTTTGAGTAGTAAAAGGGCCTTACACGAACTGTTGGAATGAATCAATAATTTTAAGTTGGACTTTCTCTGACAAAGTATTAATAAAAATGAAAAATATGTTCTTCCAAATTCATTCATTCAGAACAACATGCTTAAATAGAGAAGAATTTTTTTTTTTGTAGTTTTTGCAAATGTTCAATTAGCTCCCCTTACTTTCTTCGAAAAAATCGTTCTTTGAAATATCCCCAAAACCCATTCTATTTGACCTTTACTCCACAATGAGCGTTAAATTACCTTGAAATTCTTCACCAAAAAAAAAAACAAATAACTTCTTAAATTTAAAAACTCGAAAAAGTTTCAGCAAACTTTTTCTGTTCTTTTTTACAAATGCGTTTTTTTTCTTGGTTTTTGTGGTTTTGTGGAAATTCGACGAAACGAAATAAAAACTATTTTCTTTCACCTACCACAAAAACGAAAAAATTGGGAACCATTCAATGCAGCCTAAGGGAATTACTTTCGATATGGGATGTTGAATGAACGTACATTCGGAGCTTTTATTAATTAAATGCCAAGTAGGAAAGGGTATTTTCGTTTTTTTTTCTTCTTCTTCAATGAAAATGATTTATTGAGAAATTTAATTAAACGAATGAAATGTGAGTTGACAGGTTGGAGACGGGGGGAACATACATATTGTAAGCCTTAAGGTAAATGCGAGTAATGGAATCATGATTTTCCATGAACGACGCATTGCAAAATTAAATTAATGAAATTGAATAAAGTTCTGATATGTGGGAATTTGAAGTTTGAATGTAACGAACCAGAATTTATAACTTGATAATAATAACAATAATAATAATAATAATAATAATAATAATAATAATAATAATAATAATAATAATAATAATAATAATAATAATAATAATAATAATAACATATAATAATAAATAAATAAATTAATTACAAATAATTTAATTTTGGAAGCAGCATTCCTGCTTAGTATATTGGAATTTGAACACATAACACAAAAGATGAGAAAGAATGAAGGAGGCAAGAAAAATCGTCACACGTCTACGCACCAAAATTGGTCCCCTTTTTTGCATATTGATTGTTGATGTTCTATGGAGTAGGTTCCGAAAGAATGGGCCAATATTGTCCATTCCGTATCGGATCTAAATAAATATGCTATAAATATTGGTAGGTGCCAGGTCTGGACTATATTGGTTACTTCCTCCACTTTATATGAGATATTTATTCATTTTTAGAAAGTGTTAAAATGTGGGCGAGGTACCAGCTATAGTCGACTGAAGCATTCAATTTTCAAAATTCATCTAATCCAGATAAAAAATATTGGCATGGGCAAAATTACAAGAAAATCGAACATTATATCCCATTTGTAGCGAAACCAAAAATTCCATATTCATCCCAACTTTCCGATTGAGTGAAATATTTAGATATTTGTAAGTGATGTACCAGAAGAGGTTCGCAGATATATATCATCTTTACAACAGATCATGTGTTAGCAAAAATGTTTGTATGTGTGAAATTTGAAGAGAGTTGGATGATTATTTTGCTTTCTCTGAGCATTTGGGGGAGATACCAGAGGAAATGGCCGGATCTCTACAATCTTGTGTAGATGGAAGTATTGATATGTACCAATCGGATGTTAGCTTTGCAGATATTCAAAAGTTGGACCCTTTGTAGGAGAGGTACCAGAAGGAATGGACCAATAGACCCCATCTTCAAAGTAGATTTTAAGTTAATAGAAATAATGGGATGTGTGAAATGTGGAGAGAACCTGATGTTTATTTCGGATTTTATGATCGTTTTGGTTACTCAAAACTTTGACCCTTTATGGAGGAGGTAACAGAAGGAATGGTCCAATCCGTACCATCTTTATGACAGATCTTGTGTTGATAGAAATATTGTGCCAAGTCTGAATGGAATCGGATGTTAATTTGTTAGGAGTTATAGTTATTCAAATTGTTGACCCCCTGTGTTTCCAGAAGTAATGGTCCGATCTTTACCATATTTGTTACAGTTCTTGTGTTAATGGAAATATTGAGATGTGCCAAGTCTGAATTTAATTCGGATGTTAATTTTGCGTTTTATGAGTTTTATGGATATTCTATATTTTTACCCCTTGTGAGGGGGCTACCAGGAGGAGGGGACCGATATATTCAATCTTCACATCTGACCTTGGGTTAATAAAGATATTGTGATATGTGTAATTTAAAGACAATCCGACACTTACATGAAATTTTATAAGAGTTATTATTATTCAAAACGTTGACCCTTTGTGGGGTAGGTACTTGATGGAGTGTACCGATATTGTCCATTTTCGCACCTGACCTAGCACTAATGCAAATATTAGGATTTACAAAGTTAAAACCATCGGATTATTGCTTCTTTTTCTCTGCAGAAAAATATATTTTTTTTGTGGAAAATTTCGACCTTTTGTGGGGTAGATACAAGAAGTAGTGGATCGATATATTCCATCTTCACACCCGACCTTGGGTTAATAAAATATTGGGATGTGTGACATTTGAAGACAATGCGACTCTTACATCACAATTTATAAGAGTTGTAATTATTGAAAATGGTCACCCTTTGTGGGGGAGGTACTTGATGTAGTAGACTGATATTGTCCATTTTCGCACCTGTTGGAGCGAAAGCGGATTATCCTTTCTCTTTCTGTGCAGTAAATTATTTTTTTTTAATATCGACCTTTTGTGGAGGAGGTACCGAAATGAGTGGATCGATATTGCCCATCTCCAAACTCGATCTAAGTTTGATAATAATATTACGATGCATCAATTTTGGACCAATTCGGATACTCTCTTCGAGAGTTATAGTGTGCACCAACCAGACAGACGGGTAGGCGGACGGACATCGCTAGATCGAGTCCAAATATCGTGAAACGGATTTGGTCCAAAGAGACCTGGGGTCTAAAACCCTTATTTTGATGAGGCACGTTTTGGCCGTATCAAATATTATATATCCTCTCAAGTCATATGGCTGAGGCTATAATTAACCTCCTTAACATAAAAGGATGCAGCGTAGTCCTATCATCTGTACTTCAATTTTGAAGGGAATAAAAACTTATATGGAGTGAATCCATGCCGTTTTCAGAGTTTGCTAGAAATAAAAAAAATTTGCCAACGGAATTATAATAGCAAAAATCGAGAACACTAATCTTTAGTATTCAAGCGCTATATTAAAAATGTACAAATCGTAGCATAATTTTCTGCGTATTACGTATATGTATATTTAATTAATTTTTGGACCTCAGGCATAGATGTCGTCTTGAGTGCACTATTCCGCAACATTTTTTATACCCTACACCACAAGGTGGTCAGGGTATTACGTCTTTGTGCATTTGTTTCTAACAGGCAAAAGGAAACGAGATACACCCATAGTTCCTTTTGATTATCTGCATAGAATCACATTCTGAGTCGATTTATGGATGTCCGTCCGTCCGTCCGTCTGTCCATGTATTTTTGTAAACAAAGTACAGTTCGTATTTATTGCCCTATCCAGATGAAATTTTGCACAAATCATTTGTTTGGCCCAAGGACGAACCCTATTGAAATTGGAGATAATCGGTCAAAATTTAGATATAGCTCCCATATATATCTTCGTCCGATTTACCTTTAATTGTACACCAAACGTGAAATATCCGCCCGAATTGTATGAAATTTTGCATATACACCCAAATTAGGCCTGAAAATAAGTATGCCAATTTTGATCGAAATCGGTTCAGATATAGCTATAGCTCCCATATATATTGTTCATCCGATTTGTTATTTTTGTCCACCGCAGCCGTAATATGCACTCTGTAACAACAATATTTGAGGAAATATATCAAATACAGCTCAGAAATACATTTGCAAAATTTTATCGAGATCGGTTCAGATTTGGATATAGCTTCCATATATAACTTCGTCCGATTTACCTTTGATTGTGCACCAAACGTGTAATATATGCCCAAATTGGATGAAATTTGGTACTAACTACCGAGTTGTGTCTAGAAGCTAGTATGTCAAATTTGGTGAAGATTGGTTCAGATATAGCTATAGCTCCCATATATACTGTTCATCCGATTTGTCATATTTGTTACCCACAGCCGTAATATGCACTCCGTAACAACGATATTCAGGGAAATATATGAAATACAGCTCAGAAATATCTTTGCCAAATTTTATCGAGATCGGTTCCGATTTGGATATAACTCCCATATATATCTTTATCCGATTTCAAATTAATTGTGCACCAAATGGGCAATACAAGTCCGAATTTAAAAGATACAAATGCTTCGGCATATTTATGCCTTTGAACTTTAAATTATAATTATAATCAAAACGTGTATGATTGAATTCTCCCATAAAATTTTTTAATTGTTATGCGCAGCTCAACTAAATTAGCAAAGTGGTGTAAGGTATCATAAAGTCGGCCCCGCCCGACTTTAAGGCTTTCTTTACTGGTTATAGATTTAATATTAATAATCCTTATAGCCGCAAAACAACCATGTAAATTAGACATTACCAACAGATTTACATTTACATCTGGTTTTTATATTCCAAACATTAGTTTTAATTATTAATACTGTTAATCTAAACAATTGCCGAGAGGAAATAAAATTTGCAATCAACATTTCATTTTCCATTTGAGGTGGCGTTGAAATCGAATAACCCAAACAAAGGTATTACAAATGTTTAGTTTTGCCACAATTTTCACATTTTCCAGGAATATATTTTTTCCCATTAATGAACGAAAATTCAAGTTTATTGGGTCATTATTTCACAACAAATTGTATTGAAATTAAAAATCGCTTGCACGCAGATCACATACACTTTATTTCGAGGTGTAAACAAATATTCACTTAAATTCCGCTACAATAATTTTGTATTCAACACCAAAGTCTCGGAGGAAAAATTTGAAGCAACGAAATTTGAAAATTAACCGAAAGCCGAAGATAACGTTTCCGTTTTTTTGCAGTTGTATTTTTTTCGTATTTCCAAAGAAAGACTTAGGAGACGCGTTTAGAGATAGAAAGCGAAAGAAAGAAAGCAAGCCGTAATGCTTTTGTTAATCCACAATGCTAGATGGGATTTGTCGCGTTTTCTTCGTGTCAACAGATATTAATCAAAAATAAGTAGCAGAAGCGGCGACGGCGGCGGTGTAACGGTTTATGGTGTTGCGCGCGCGTTTTTCACAGGCAACTTCTATTTGGCAAAGCAACAAGAAAACGAATATTAAAACATAAAAAATTAGAGCTGCAATTTGGTTTTGCTTTTTGACAGGAAAAGCTTCTCAGGGCGTTTTATTTTGGATTCAATTTAATTCAATTCAATTTTATGTTAATTATTTCGTGAGGGAAAAAATTGCAGCGTTAGCAGACGTTTAGAGTGCACGGCCGACACGAATCGACTGAATGGCAGAGAACGAAAGAAGGCAACATAATTTGGTCAATACAACAGATGTCGGCCAAAAAGAAGCCAGCAGCCAGCCCACAAAAACGAATGCCATGATTCGTTAACTACGAGAGACAGACAGAGAGACATAGAGAGAGAGAGAGAAAGTATGATAAAGCTAAACTAAAGCAATCATAATTTCTAACAAAAAAGCTTTAAGGTCATAAATTTAACATTAAAGCACAGCCAAAGCTCCACTGGGAGGAGACGAGAGATAGAGAAAACATGCAAGCCATCTGAGGGTTAATTTTTCTTATCACCCACAATGAGAACAACAATCACCACCACCACCACAATTTCCACTTAAGCTTGAACTTTCCTGAAGGTTCATTACTAAAGAGAATCCTTAATCAGCATAACAGGCATACACACCCACAGCAGCCACCCTTGAAAAAGCTTTGAGGACTCTCTATATGCACGAAGAAGAAGACGAAGAGCAGAAAACAACAACCGTTGCAAAATCGAAGCTTTTGTTTTCCGGTTTGAGTGTTATAAATCAACATTGTTCTACTAATGCCACTACCACTATTCACTTGCTTGTTTAGCACCTCATCCCCGTTTGGACGACGTGTCACATTAGCATTTTGGATGGCGTACCGTTCGGCTTGAGTCAAGTTTTCCTCAATTAAAACATTTGCACAGTGGTGTTGTGTAGGACTTTATACCATTAATATAAAACCCTCCAAGGTATCAGAAATGTAGAAGATTCTTCTTCTATTCGTCGGATGCCTTTAACACGTCCTCTATCTACGGAAAACCTATGATGTTATTTTATACCCTCCCTACATTCTATGGAGGGTATATTAGCTTTGACATTCCGTCAAAATATTCATAGGGTCTATTATGAATATTTCGAGGAGTTAAAATTCTCGATCTTTGTAAAATTCCAAGACGATCTAGCGATGTCCGTCTCTCTGTTGTAATCACGTTATCTTCCGAAAGAATTTAAAAAAAATTGCTAAGATTTTGCATACATGCATAGTTTATAAGTAGGTAGTTTAAGTACGTAAATGCGCCATGTCGGTCCACGTTTTCGTATAGCTTCTTTATAACGGTACCTCCCGATATTCGGTATTTTCAGCGACGAGCGACATTATTTACCGGAATTATTTCATATTTCGTATTTGAAATTCGTAATGGGTACTACATCCTATGATAAAAATTTTTGTATTCAGGTCCATGTATAAGTATAGCACACATATAACGGTACCTTCCGATATTCGATATTTTAATGACAGCATATGACCACGTCTTCGTATAGTCCCCATATAACGGTTTTCAATTAAAGTTATCGGATTTTTTTTTAATTTTTAACTTCCTTCCAAATGGTGGAGGGTATTTAAAATTCGGCCCGGCTAAACTTTGCTGCTGTTTTACTTGTTGTAGGTATTATACGTTGACAAGATTTTGTGTTTATAAAATAACATAAAAGACCCTTGCAATTAAATCAAAAGCTGGAAAAAACATTTCAATCTACTCGAGGGACGTACGCTGGCAGGAGGAGGGCGGTACGCACGTACCCTCCCAAATTACTAAATTGTACTTTTTGCATGGAAAATTAAGTTTTTGTTGGGCCCCCAAAATGGTTTCGAAATGTGCTTCTTCGTAACGTCCCTGATCCACTAATTTCTGTAGATTTCTTTCTATCCACTTATAGCGTCTTCTAGTCTGTGGTAGTAAATTTGGTAAAGGGCTGGAATTCTCAAATATGATATTGTTGCAATCTGGAATTTAGATATGAAGATGGTTAAGGAAATGTATACTTTAATTTTACGAAAATTTCTAAGTAGTACAAAATTTGACATAGGAAATCATGATATTTTATATATATCTCACTGTTGGTGTCTGTGGTAAAAATATGAAGAGAGTTTTGGAAAATAGTACTCTAATTGTTAGAAAAGTACTCAAATGTACTAAATTCAGAATTCGTGGGAGGAGATAGAGCTGGAATCCCGAAATTTGATATTGAGGTCTTTGGTTTGGAGAAGGATCTTGTTTGGCTATGCGTACAGGGTTGCCCATATTCGACGGACCCATGACTCTTTGGGCCCATTCCAATCGACGAGGCTTGTCCGCAGGCAACATTCTTTGCGTCAATTGAATTTTGTACGGGAACAAATGCAAATCAATGCGAATAATCCGTTGTAAATGGGGCCCTCTCAACACTGGCTCGTACGGCAGCGATATTCTCGGCCGATCGCCTTGGTCGACTTTTATATGGCCTCTTCAGATTAGAAAGAGCCTTACCAGTCGAAAATTTTTCGTATAAACGCTTAATGTCATTAAGCGATGTGACATCTCTGTCAAAATTTGGCGTTAGTAATATAGAAATAATTATAATAATAATAATAATAATAATAATAATAATAATAATAATAATAATAATAATAATAATAATAATAATAATAATAATAATAATAATAATAATAATAATAATAATAATAATAAAAATAAAATAATAATAATAATAATAATAATAATAATAATAATAATAATAATAATAATAATAATAATAATAATAAAATAATAATAATAATAATAATAATAATAATAAAATAATAATAATAATAATAATAAAATAATAATAATAATAATAATAATAATAATAATAACAATAATAATAATAATAATAATAATAATAATAATAATAATAATAATAATAATAATAATAATAATAATAATAATAATAATAATAATAATAAGAATAATAATAATAATAATAAAATAATAATAATAATAATAATAATAATAAATAATAATAATAACAATAATAATAATAATAATAATAATAATAATAATAATAATAATAATAATAATAATAATAATAATAATAAAATAATAATAATAATAATAATAATAATAATAATAATAATAATAATAATAATAATAATAATAATAATAATAATAATAATAATAATAATAATAATAATAATAATAATAATAATAATAATAATAATAATAATAATAATAATAATAATAATAATAATAATAAAATAATAATAATAATAATAATAATAATAATAATAATAATAATATAATAATAATAATAATAATAATAATAATAATAATAATAATAATAATAATAATAATAATAATAATAATAATAATAATAATAATAATAATAATAATAATAATAATAATAATAATAATAATAATAATAATAATAATAATAATAATAATAATAATAATAATAATAATAATAATAATAATAATAATAATAATAATAATAATAATAATAATAATAATAATAATAATAATAATAATAATGAATTGGCATCTGAGGAGATTGTTTTTAAAAATAGTTCTTTAAAATACGTACTTTTATAAAATTTGGTATTAGGTGAAGGGAAAGGATTGGAAGCCTTAAATTTCATATTGAGGTCTCTCTGCTGGAATCTGAAATTGATATATGGGTGTTGTCTTTGAAATGTGTACTTTTATTATACCCTCCACCTTGGAAAGGAGGGTATATTAACTTTGTCATTCCGTTTGTAACATCCTTAAATATTCGTCTTGGACCCCATAAAGTGTATATATTCATAATCAGCATAAAATTCTAAGTCGATTTAACGATGTCCGTCTGTCTGTCTGTTGAAATCACGATACAGCCCACATTATTTGACGTAGAGCGTACAAATTTAGCAGAGCTATTTGCATTGTGTCTAGGATGGTTGGTATTGAAAATGAGATATATCGGCCCACGTTCTGGTATAGTCCCCATATAACGGTACCTCCCGATATTCGGTATTTTGATGATTTATGCCACATTTTTTCACGGATTTGTCTGGAAATTGGTATTTGTAGGTCATAATGGTTTCCATCTCCGGTGGCGAAAGATTGTATGTATGGGTCCATGATTTGGTATAGCGCCCATATAAAGGTACCTCCCGATAATCGGTATTTGCCAATTAATTTGATGGTTTTTGCCACATTTTTTCAAAGTTTTTTCTAAAAATTGGTGTTTGTAGGCCATAATGGATCCTAGTTCGTGTGGCGAAACATTGTAATTATAGGTCCACGTTTTGGTGTAGCCCCCATATAACGGTACCTCCCGATATTCGGCATTTTAATGGTTTTTGCCACATTTCTTCTAATGTTTCTTTTACCCTAAGGTGGACGGTATTAAAAGGCCGAACTTAATGTTTTTTACTTGTTATTACTAAATTTTATATTGGGTGAAGGAATAGAGCCAAAATCCTGAAATTTGATATGGACGTCACTGTTGATGTCAGTAGTTGAAAGGAAGAGGCGATTTTTTAGAAATGCGAACAATAAACTTACGAAAAGTACAAAATATGCCGTTGGGTGTTGGTAGACAAATGGAAGTTTGGTATCGAGATCACTGTTGGTTACTGGGGTTTATGTGTGGAGACGTTAAATTAATTTTTGAAAGAAAAATTGAATGTGGGTTCACTGTGCAATGGTATTATTTAAGGCTTCGGCTTTTAAAATACCATACTTACTTACATTTTCAATTATCCTCAAGATTTCAATATTGTACAAAATATTCAAAGTGTATGAACTTACCTGAAATTATAAAAGAGAAAAATGTTGTGAGAAGTTAGAAAAAATATACATTGAGTAATTGGTAAATATAATATTTTTTATTTAAGTTTATTGACCACTGTCCCTCCTTTGTCCCAAAAACCCAATTATATTTTCTTCCTAAACGCAATATCAGCAGAAAAAAAACATATGTTTCTTTAAGACGAACAATGTCATTTGAATGGTGGAAGGCATTGTTTTTAGTTTCTTCTTCTCAGATGTTCTTTTTGCCAACATTAAATGTCTGTTTTAGTCGGACACTTAGACACATAGTTCCAGTAAGAGAAATGTAAGATGGAGAAAAGAAAATCAAAGTCAAGAGAAAAGAAAACAACAAATTTGCAAGAAAGACAAAA